AGTGGCGACCCGCGACCATGGAGATATGAACAGCTTTTTATAAGGTAAAAATAATAAAACAAGGTCTTTGTCTGCAATGATTAGACATGTTTTTTATTATTGTCATTAGTGATTATCTCAATTTCTGCTAAAAGAGTTGACAAAATCCTACACACTGTGCCTTTAAGAGAGCGAGGAGGAAAAGTTCTGCGCGGCGCAGCGCAGCTGGAAACTACAGCGCTGCTGCCCCGCCTCCTCTAAAGAGCAGAACCGGGTGAATGAACGTCAGAAGACTTACGCACTCAGGTCAGTTTTCCACAATCAGAATAAGATGATCCGATTAAGTGTTTGCATGAACCTCATTCCGATTATCAATTGGCATAAACCACACCTCTCATTTGGATTAAAAATTCATTCGGATCAAGCTCAATCGGATCAGAATAATCCAAACGGGCTGTTTATTTCGAACGGCTGTTTAATCCAATTACTTATGTCCATGTAACCGTACAGTAGCTTGTGTTTTTCTGGCCAGGGTGACTGAAAACCATCATGTGAATCAATCATGTGACCACTGCAGTAATGCATCAGGTTGTGAGGCCTCCTCATACCCATAACATTTTTAAATATCTCAATAAATGTGTGATACACATAATACACTATATTGCCAGAAGTATTTGATCACCTGCCTTGACTCACATATGAACATCCCATTCCTAAACCATAGGGTTCAATATGATGTTGGTTCACTCTCTGCAGCTAGAACAGCTTCAACTCTTCTGAAGGTCGTCCTCAAGGTTTAGGAGTGTTTATGGGGATTTTTGACCATTCCTCCAGAAGCACATTTGTGAGGTCACATACTGATGTTGGACAGAAGGCCTGGCTCTCAGTCTCTGCTCTAATTCATCCCAAAGCTGTTCTATCAGGTTAAGGTCAGGACTCTGTGCAGGCCAGTCCAGTTCATCCACACCAGACTCTTCCATCCATGTCTTTATGAACCTCGCTTTGTGCACTGGTGCGCAATCATTTGGATGGGTGAGCAAATACTTTTGGCAATATAGTGTATTTTATGTAGGTAAAAACTGTTTACCTGAGCAGCACTGTTTTCCCACACAAAAGGTTAGAATCACGAGACAGATGACATCACACCAACTTCAAGACCGGTTTCAGAAACACTGTTTAATGGTTGTGGCTGCATGCAGCTCATTGTGAGTCTCCATTTAGACCTGATCAGCTATTTATAAACCTCAAACATGAGACAAATAAAAATCAGTTTGTAGTTAATAAAGTTAGTATTCACTCTTTATCCACTAGATGGTGGTAGTAGCATATTTTTATTTTCTGTTCTTCAGTGAAAATAGCCCACTGGTGTTTAAATCTGACAGATGACACCAGTTCTGTTAATTTGCCCTGTAAGTCACAGGATGACAGTTTTTAACCCAAACAGTGAGTTTTTGTGGCACAGAGATGTCAGACAGTCAGTCTGAAGAGGTCAGCCAGTTTCCTTCCATCTGAGCTGTGTTTGAAAACAGGAAGCTACTGGGCAGGAGGAAGCTTCCGGTCCTTTGGCCCCCATCCGCCAGTATCCTCTGTTTTTATGAGCCAGCTGTTGTGAACATTAATAGAGTCTGCAGACTGCAGCTACATATACACCCATGACAGTCCATTAACCTTAAACACTAACTGCTGTCCTGTCACATGGTACAATACTGTCAGTTCAGTTTTCTAGTGAAAATATAAATTATTTTAAGATAATGTGGGGAAAAAATCAAACTTTTAACCAGTGTCCAGTTTAATGGGTGAAGAGAAAAAAAAAACATTGGATTTTCAACACAGTAAGCTTTAATTTTAATCCTGAACTAAAATGAGCAAAAAAATAAAATAAAATAAAAAAATTAAGGAGAGTTCTGTTAAATTTATTTTGTTGTAACACTACAGCTTGGTAAAAAATAAGACTAAAAACAAAAAAATATACTTGTTCAATTCCCCTGAAATGGTTTCAAATGTGTATGAAAAATGTATTTGTGGGATAAACAGC